AAGAAGTATTGAACCAGACAATAAGGCGAAGAGGAGGCAGGTGTGAGATAAAAAAAATCAATCATAATTCACTGAGTTGATTCAAATATTCCTTTTAAGGAATCAAACTTGTGATCAATGAAGGATCTAATTGTTTTCTTGTCTTCATTAATATTTTTTATATTTCTAAGTTCAATGGGAACTTAAGTTTCGGTCCAAAGTAAGTAACAAACCTTTGGGTATATACGTTTTTACAAAAAGGAACACTAATTGTTCTCTAGGATTTGGCTCGGGTGTCAGGTATGTGTGTCAGATATGTGAGAGGCCAGTTCAACGTCCATAGTACACAGTGATAGGTGTATAATTTTCTGATATTGAATAAACTAGCCTCCTTATATGAGCTATCAGTTGGATGTCTTCTATCTTTGTTCAATACTATTTTAGGCAATGTGTTTTGTATCACTTGTACATTATGTGAGTGTGTTTTATTCAACACACCCCAAACAATAATACAGTACCTTATAACTGATTCAGCTTATGCATCGTATGTCATCAGTAATGAATATTCATTTAGAATGTTTCTGAGTTGGTAAAATTAAAAAAAAGTCTTTTCGCGGGAAAATCTACATGTTTGTCCAGCGTACATGTGGGTCAAGTATCACACCCAGATATTTCATTGTATCCGTTTTCTTCATACGTGAACGAGAACAAATTAAAGGAGTTTGGCAATTGGGAGTATGTATGAAAATGTTTCCCTATAGTGGTTGGTCTCTTATTGTTGATGAAAAGGTAAAGAATTTCGTTTGGTCGATGTTTAGACTCAGGAGACTAAAATTCAGCCATGAGAATATAATGTTCAATCCATTTTGTGCTTTTGCATAAGTAGAGTCCCGTGTGTTACCATAGAAAATCAATGTCGTATCATCGGCAAATGGAACAATATCATCATCGAAGTCCTTCAGGTCGTGAATGCTGTTGATATATATTAGAAATGGAATTGGACTCATGGCAGTGCCCTGAGGAACACCCATGGCGACTGGTTGTGTCTGGAATATTAAGTGAGTTGGATAATTCAAAGGCTAACACGTCCAATCAGTATCATTCCATTAATTGGCAAAATAATTGAAATTATCCTAAAAGATAGGCTTTACTCTTTTTTTGAAAACAAACTTTATTTCAGCGAATCACAGTTTGGTTTCCGGAAAAACAAAAATACTACCCACGCTGCTTTCAAGGTTGTTGCCGAGATAGTTGAAGGCCTTGATCAGAGCAGGCATACTTCTCTGACATTATGCGACCTGACCAAGGCCTTCGACTGCGTTTCACATTCCCTACATATTGAAAAACTAAGTTATTATGGCATAAGGGGCACTACTCTGGAACCCCTACGTTCATATCTTACAAACAGATTTCAGTGTGTTGAGCTGAACAATGTAAAATCTGATTTAAAAAAATCAAGCATGGCGTCCCTCAAGGTTCAATCTTGGGACCTTTCTTATTTATTGTGTATATAAATGACTTATGCCACGCCATTGCACCTACTAAATGTTTTCTATTCGCTGACGACACAACAATTATTTGCTCAAGCAAGTCTTACACTAACTTGAAAGACTCCGTCATCACAGTACAAAACTCAGCTAAGCTTTGGTTCACGAAGAATAAACCCAAATTGAATGAAAGAAAAACCTAAAATTTGATTGTCTCCACAAATTCAAATTATCGCGAGGGGGCAAATGTATCATTTCTAGGCATTACGATTGATGACAAAACCAGCAAATCCGGAGTAGCAGAGCATGTTTGCACTCATCAACATAATATCAAGTGTGTTCAAGCTGAAATCATCCACAAAAAGGAACACTAGTTTAGGAAAAAATTCAAAGAAGTCGCGTATATGTTGTCCCACAAGGCATTTAGTCAAGCTAGCGTAGAGATACGTACCAATCAAGCGAAAAACGACCAACTCCCGCCAAACGGTCATCTCCCGCTAAAACCAATGAAGCGGAGAGAGGGAAGAGGGGGTAGGTGAAAGCACTCGAATGACCTATAAATAGTCGGATCTCAAAGGATAAGTCTAGTTATCACTCGAAGATGATTGTGGATACTAACAATCGAAACATCTTGACGAAACTTGGTTTGGAATCTTCAAATTTTTATTCAATATTTTGATAATATTATTTTTTTATTTTCAGCTTTCATAAATATTTCACTTTTTCATTTCCTTGGTTGTTGCTTGTATGTTATTTTTTTGTGATTTCAGTTCTTTTTTGTTCAATAATAAATTGTTATTTTCGGTGAATCTTTTTAATTTTTTTCAGGGATTTCAAATCAACTTATATTATATCAATTGAGATATAGAATTACAAAAACAAATGATATCAGAATGAACAAAACTGAAAAAAAAAACTAATATTTCCTGAATCCCTGTCAGTATGTGATTGAATGGAAGTCTCCGCCGATAGCTGTCTAAGATAATGTTTTCTGTTTGAAGAAGTCCAACATTGAAACATCACATTAATCCCAAATATTTTTTTCAGTACCAGATTGCTAAAAGATATGGTTTTCTCATAGAAGACCACTTAGTTACGACCAAAGATGGTTATATTCTCACAATATTCCGACTTCTGGATCCGCAAAGGAAGATACAAAAAAGTAGACAACCCGTTGCACTGCAACATGGAATTCTGGTCGATGGTGTATCCTGGATGATTTCGGGAAATAATTCTTTAGGTAATATCCAGTTTTTGAAAATTGAAAACACTGATTTAGTCCAATAAAACACCTCTTGTTCACCATAGTGTGGTAACCGTTTTTTGACAACAGACCCACCAGTCTAATACAAATTGACAGAAGATGACCTAAACTGATTCCTAAAAAATAGGAAAAACTCTCATCTCAATTTCTAGTCAGGGATCATTCTGTTCGAAGAAGTAACTGCTAAATTGAGAATAATTATATTCCAAGCAGATTCCTGTGAGTTTCTTTCATTTTCTTCACCATTTCTCCAAATAATCTATGGAAATGTTCCAGAACAGCGAAGCTGCACCGAATGATATCAAAGTGTTTACATATTGCAACCTCTCTCTCGAACCGGGTTATGAAATTAAGAAGATTTCGAACTGTTTTGTTAGGCATCAATGTTATTTTATTCCTAAGGAAATCTATGGTGCAGGAATTCGGAACATCAACTTGACATATTGAGTTTTGATATGATGGACAAATAATGAACATCAATGTTCATTATTTGTCGATTTTGAGTTTATGATGGCATCAAACCCAACCCAATCTGAATTTCAGATTACATATTCATTTCAGGGAAAAGAACGTTTAGATCATCTGAATAATGGTGATTAGGACCGGGAGCACATGAGAAAGGAATAAAACTGCCCAAGCAAAGCTCTCTGGCTTACAGAGACAGGCTCGTCTGGCTATCAGTGGTTCCATTAGTACCACACCATCAGCGGCCATGGAGATTCTTCTAGATTTACCTCCTCTCCATATTTTTCTGGAGAGAGATGCTAAATGGACTGCATACAGACTTGTTCAGACAGTGCAACAGACTGTTGGTTGACAGTAGAAGTCACCAATGAACTCTGTCACCAACTGTCAACCACGAACTGCCTTATGAAGTTCTGTTTCCGAGTAGAGAGGACTGGATCTATTGGGAGCAGATAGTTGTTGGTTCATAGATGAATTAAAAACACCTTCAGGTTCTGGTGCAGGTGTATTCAGTCGCGGACCCAGCACAGAGATATCAACCTTCCTAGGAACCTATGTGACTGTATTTCAAGCGAAAATTTACGCTATTGAAGTGTATGCGGAGAAATTGGAAAAATCCAAACTCATACACAAGTCAATGAAAATATTCTCGGATATCGGCGTTAGAAGCTCTTGGCTCCTACCGAGCAACGTCTAAATTGGCAGCAAATTGCCAAAAACGACTCTCCTCGATAGGAAGACTTGAGAGATTGTCTCTGGTCTGGATTTCTGGCCGTATTGGCCTGGAAGGCAATGAGGCTGCTGACTCCCTTGCAAAGGAGGGTGCTGCAAGCAGCTTCATCGGACCAGAACCTGTCATTGGCATCCCTTTAGGCTTTGCCAAACAAACATTGAACACTCGGATGGCAAGAAGATTTATGGACTTCTGGCAGAATCTCCAGGATGGGGTAATGAACGTCTTGGTGTGAACCAAGACGTTCATTATCCCTTCGAAGCTTGATACCAAAAAGTTGTTGGACAACAGTTGGGATGAACCACGATGTCTAACAGGCCTTCTTAAAAGTCACTGTCATTTGAATCATCATATTCAGAGACTCGGACTGTCGGAAGACAGTGTGTCTCGCCTCTGTTTGGAAAATGATGGAACAGCAGAGCACATACTATGTGCCTGTCCCGCTGGGCACCGAATCAGGTTTTTAGAGTTTGGCAGAGCAGTACACTCATCTGACCTGAAGACCACTCACCATACAAACCAATCGGCTTCGTTAAGGAGCTGGATTTATTTGGTCGAATGTGAATGAGTGTGAGCCACAATAAATCCTTGAGGGTTGTGATGGAGGGTCGAATAGACCCACTCACTTCAGACCTAACCTAACCTAACATGGAAAAAAACATCAATGTCCACGATGTAAGGTTTCTCCCTGAGTGTTACACAGTATTGACGCGATGATTCCGTGATGGATTAAAAAACAGCAAAGTAACGTCACCGTTCATCTTTGTGAACTGTTGAGTAGATGTACAGTTCCAAACATGGACACAGTACCTATCTGAAATGTGTGGAAAAACATGCCCCGTGCGGAAGAAAATTATCAGAGAGGTCAAAATTGTTCCTATTGCACAAGAGCTCATATTATGGTGCGTTCATTGAGTCTTCGATTCAGAAAAACACTATGAAAAAGAAAGGCATCACGACGTTGAGCCCTCCGTTGGCCCAACTGCAATTAAGTTGGGTGAATACAGAGATCAAAACCTAAAGCAGTGGATTCAAAAAATTTCTACTCCCAATTTACAAGCAGACATAGGTGATCAGGATGCAAATGAGGATGAATATACGGATGACCCGCCAATATCTGCTAATGAATCAACATACTAGGGAAGATATGTTGTTGTCCGGAGGATTTCTGGAAATTCACTCCCATTGAACATTATTGTGTGAAAATTTCAATTTTTCTCTTTCAACTGTCTATGCAATAAACAGTTTTTGAACATGGTTGTCATTTTAAACGAATTTACGAACCCAGATTCTACTAGCTTGATTTTCCCATTTTCACAAAATACATACAAATGGACATGAAGATTTTTTTTCTGGACCCATCATATGTTTTTAGTGTATTTTTCGCCGATATACAATTTTACTCGATTTTTTTTTTGATAATCCACCACAAGACCAGTTTCTAATTGAATTACCAACCCTGTTTCAAAATATTGATTTGCTCGAAATAACTAACTACCTCAATGTATTTGTGATTTCTAAAAAAATTTGATTTCAAAAAAAGGAAAGAAAGTGTTGGATATCAATTGAAGACTATGAACAAATATTTTTCCAATGAACTATACTTGAATATTTGTGCAGATACAATTTTTATTTATGATATTATTAGATGAACTCGGTATTTTCATGAATTCATATTATCATTTCTTTTCTTTACATTTCAGCTTTTTATTTGGCCAATTCCGGACTAGACGTATGGATAGTCAATTCAAGAGGAACTCCTTTTTCATTGAAACATACTAATCCATCCATTTCTGAAAAGGACTATTGGAATTACAGGTATATTTCAGGGAATATTGAACATCATAGTTTATATCGACTGAAAACGGTCGTGTCTCATAGAACTAGTGCACGCTCAATGATAATTATATTAATATCATCTTTATTATCTTCTAATACATTTGAAATGAGTTATTCAGGTACAATTCATTTATTATATGAAGATAAAAGGCAAAGTTCAATTTACATGATGACAAGTTATCATTCAATTGCTCTTCCAGACTCGGATTTTGCTAGGCAAGTTAGCATCCTCAAGGAATAACTAAAGTTTTTTTCTGCCAACTTTCTTGTGAAGGATTACATTCATTCATCTCCAAAAGTATGTGCTCTGCTGTCTTCCGACAGTCCAAGTCTCTACATATGATGATTAAAATGACAGCGACCTGTGAGAAGGCCTGTTAGACAACATAGTTCATTCCTAGTGTAGTCCAACAACTATTTGATATCAAGCTTCGAAGGGTGAATAAACGCCTTGGAGTGAGCCAATTCTGGAAGATTCTGCCAGTAGTCCATTAATCTTTTTGCCATCTAGGTGTTCTACCTTTGTTTGGTAAAGCCTAAAGCGATACCAATGACAGGTTTTGGTCCTATGAACCTACTTGCAGCACCCTTTTCTGCAAGGGGGTCAGCAGCCTCATTGCCTTCTAGCCAATATGGTTAGGAACCCAGACCAGCGACAATCTGTTAAGTCGTTTCTGGCAATTGGCTACCTATTTAGACATTGCTCGGTGGGAGCCAAAAGTTTTCAACGGCGCTTCACTGTCCTTGCATATTCTTATTGACTTGTGTATGAGGTTGGATTCTTTCGCTTGAAATTCAGTCGCATAGTTTCCTAGACAGGTTGGTATCTCTGTCCTGAATCTGCGACTGAAGCATAGGACAACACATTGGCTACAACTATTATTTGAGGTATGACGATTCCTTAATGAAAACCGTGCAGGAATAATGTGAGCTGAAGCTTCAGGAAACACGAGTTCCCATTTCACAGGGGCAGCAATACGATTCAACCTGAATAATGTTCACCATCTCAGCGTCTGGGATTTCTTAGTCGAGTTTTTTCGATTTTTTGTTGGTTCTGATAGATTTTCCATTTCTATATTATATTATTCTGTTGCATTGGATATTAGCAGAAGTTCACCGATTCAAATGGCGTTCAATTCGATTGAATTAAACAAGTATTCACTGAGATATTACAATTTGAAGTAGACTCATAAAGATGGAGAGAAATTTTGCAACCCAATATAAAGCCAAAAAGTGAGTGTGTAACTATGCTATTTTGCGTTATAAACAAAACAGCCAAACTCAATAATTATTCTGAAGAAAGATTCGTTCAATTTTTCTCTTATGATTTGCAGTGTGACACAAGTTGAAATTGATAAAAGTTCTCTTCAACGTGTTATATAAAAAAAATAATACTTCAATTGAATCTGGAAACCACTATGTTGGGGTTTACTCCTTGAATTTATTATAAGAGTCACCAAAGTGTCGTTTATTAGCAAAAATGTTGCCAACTAACTTATAACTTATAGTTGTGTTACAACCCAGAACTAAGTGTTTCTCAACAGTTTTATAGGGGTAACGTAGTAGCTAAAATACGTTGAAATGCTTGCTACTGATACCAATTTATTTTATAGAACGACGCCATTTTGAATGATAGATATCCGGGATATTGAAATTAAATGAGTTGAAAATATGAAATACCGCATATATAGTGATATTTACAGCTGGAAAGTACATAAATATCATAACATTATATTATTTAGAATAAAGTGAGTTGAATTTGCGACTGGAAAATTAATACGTTGACAGAGTGAATTTTTATATAATCAATAATTTCACCGAAAACATTTATCAATCTTCGAAACACAAACAAACAATGTCTTTAACAGTTTTATGAGTGCAAAAGTGAAATTTTAAAATGGCTTCAACCTTTCTATTTGTTACTATTCAGTTGGTGACATATTTATTATATTTTCCTAGTATTCAATACAAAATCACTTCTTGCGTCTTCAAGAAAACATTTCCAACACTTTTTTATTTTATTGTTATCGTTTTTGACTGTATTATATTTCATAACGCCTACTTGCAACTACTAAAAACTCTTATAAAACTGTCTTCTAATTATTTTATAAGTATCCCTTGAATATGTTGCAAAAGTGCAGTAAGGAAAGTCTTTACAAAACTACTTTTCAAGAGTGTTAGACAAATTTTATAGTTATTGCCAAAATGTTTATAAAACTGTTTTGTAGTGTTTGTAAAAGGCCTTACAAAATATTGATAATAACTATAATGTTTTATGAAACGGTGCCAATTTCCTATTTATAGCAGTTTTATAAACACATTGAAAACATTTCTGGGAGTAATGCAGTTTTATAATTCGTTTCTTCGAAACGTTTCCGCAACTATTATAAAATACGAAATTGCTAGTTGGGTACAACACAACCTTCGTGGACTGTAAGTTATTTTACTCTCAGCTTCACTCTGATATTCGTCATCGGTAAAAACTAGATCTATCTCATTTTGGATGTGCTCGAATTCGTCAAGCAAATAAGAAGCTCTTTCTAATCGAGAATCTAGTTCCACTGTCGAATCATCATTAACTGAGTTTTGGTTTTGAGCAAAATCCTCCAGAAATGAAATGAAATTTGTTAATTTTCCCTTAACAATACCTCTTTCGCGATTAAGAACTTTTAATTGATTTTTCAACATGATTTACTAATTGAATCAAATAACCTAAATTGGAACAGAAACGAAATGAACAGGAATTAGGAAAGAATTGTATGACTCACCAATTCAGTATAAATTGTTATCTCCGCCACTGTTTCACGGCGGCTATGCTTCACCAGGTATCGTATCCACACTCGATACCGCCTTCAATGACTCGACTCCACTCCAATGACTTCCACAGAGATACACTACATATAATTAAACGAAGCTACAATCTATTCTACATAACAGTTTGTGGAACGCATATCTTCACTCTACCGCAGACACTTCGACTTCAGGAAGTGGACATAGTTTTGTTACGGCACGCGTCACTGCACCATTTGAGGTTTTTACAGTGGCATCTGGACCAGGAAAAACGTTGCTAACTCTTCCCATCCACCAATACAACGGTGCCAGATTATCATCCTCGATGAGGACGAGTTGTCCAACTTGTAGGTTGACTTTCTCCTTCGTCCATTTACATCGTTGTTGCAGTTCAGTGATGTATTCGGAATACCAGCGGGACCAGAAATGTTGAAGAAGCATTTGGAGATGTTGAAACTTGGACAGTCTGTTGGTTGAAACTTCCCAAACATCTGGGTCTGGTAACGAAGTCAAACGTCGTCCAATGAGGAAATGGGAAGGAGTAAGGACATCCATATCATCAGAGCTGGATGATAAAGGGAATAGCGGACGTGAATTGAGGATTGCCTCAATTTGGGTGATTTGAAGGACCCTTCATATGTTGAGGACCCTTCATATGTTAACGAACCTTCACCCAATCGTTGTCATTGCAATTATTCAACATGCTTAATTTTTTTTAGCTTTCACGAAGTGGGAATATATGATTTACCAGCAATACTTGAAGAAATTTCAAAACATACTAACCGCACTGATATCATTCATATTGGCCATTCTATGGGAGCCACAGCCTCAACTGTTTATTCCATTTTGAGGAGCGATCATGCCAGAAAGTACTTGAAAGGAATAATTCATCTCGCACCGGTTATTAAATTTTTCCAACTACGTGGTGTGTTAGCCTTAATCATTCCTTTTCATGACATTCTTGTGGTAAGTGTATTTTGCTATGTTTAGTATTTTGTGATTGGCCAAGAAACTTTCAAAAACGAACTTCTATTTTCAGGTTCATGTAATAATCTGTCCGACATTGACAGATTGATAAACTGTTCATGTTCGATGGAATGATTACAAGTTGAAATAATTTGAAGTATTTTATGGTTTCTAGTAATGATTTTGAAAACCTATTCAGGTTGTGAATGGACTGACCCGTTACTTGATGAAAATTAATAACACTTTCCATCATTCATAATCACACAATTTCCACAATGATTTGACAGTTCACCGTTGATCAACCCATATAGACACAACTATAAACAAGCATTCCATATATGAACCTTGATTTCTAATATTCATTGTATTCTTTTGAATTTGAAAATAATGAAAACGATTATCATTATCATTATAAATTAGCAGCTGTGATCCACATACTCATTAACATACCAATATTCACAAAGAATTTTAATGAGGATGAAACAAACTGCAGTGGATAACAACTTTAACTCGAATGTAATTCATCACATCCTTGATGTAAAATGTTTCAAACAAACTATTAACCAAGTATACTCACATATACCGGAAAAACGTCAGAAAGATCATTTAATAAACAAAATTTCAACATAGTATATGAAACTGTTAACTTCCTGGGTAGTTACAACAAGTCACAAAGAGACAAGGATAACAGATCAGATTTTTTTTAACACAAAACACAAGCATTACAGGAAAATCCTCAAGGCGCTTCAAGAGAGGTACCTTGGTGGAAGTAGCGATGTACATTGGATTTGAATCGCTGTAGATTGATCCATTTGGAAAAACTTTCACATGAACTTTATTCCACATAAAGGTATTTCTTCAAATGGAAGAGTTCTTAAACAGTGAAGTTCAAGATATACTGAGTTTAGCTTCAAAATGATGAGCAGCTACAGTCCGTCGCGTATTTCTGATATGTACCGCTATTGGTGGAATCAAATGTGCCAAGTAACTTGAACACTTCTGGTGAAAGTATCAATAGGGGAAAGACAAATTCCCAACCTTCCTCCGATGTTCCAGACAGATCAAGGTTGCGATTAAGATTCGCGTTTCCAAACAGGCGGATGGTTTTTTTCTGGATGGAATCCAGCAGCTTCAGGGTATGCATAGGGGCAGAGCTCCATACATTAAAAAGAAATACTTCAAAGAAGGTGTGTATAGTTTTCTGGTTTGGAACAGCGTTCCACGATTTTGAGGAGCAGCCCTTGCAATTCCAGCGACATGATTGTGAAAAGACTTATTGCTGTTCATTTCAACCCCCAACAAATTCATCAAAGCAGAAAGCAGAATTGTCTGTCCGGGCATTAATATATTCAGTTCGGAGACAATTATCTTTTTAGAGAAAAGCGACGCCTGGGTTTTTGTGGCACTGAATTGGAGCTGGTTGGTTACACCCCAATTCGAAATCACTTCTAGATCCTCATTAAGATATGCAACCTCCTGCTGCAGTCGATGTCCTGTTATCGAAATGAAATGGTGAGACAAGTGTAATACATTGGAATCTTCGTTTTTCAATGATTCCTGGAGAATACCAGCTTTGATCTCTGTTTATCTGTTTAAAATATGATGGTGGAAGTATTCTAAGTGGGCGGATAATTCCTAAGAGAGTATGTTGGGAGGACAAAAAAAATTTCAAAACAAGAATCTTCAAACACAAAACGAGTTTTGAATTCAAGAAGACCATTTTCACCTATATGGGACCTTCTGGGGAACGATCACGATTTCAACACTATGTACGACATACTTCTTGTAGAACCTAAGAGACAGAGGTTGAACCTGCTGGAGACTCTGGAAATGAAGGGAAACCTTTGGGTTGGCTGCTAAATGACCAACAGGAGGCTGACAACTCACCATTAATAAACATTTTGAAATAATACCAATGAGTCTATCCATACTCAGAAATGTACCTGTTGTCCAAGAACTGAGAGTGTTAATTGGTATACAAATTCAATTTGGTGTCGTCTACCTGGTACTATTGACATGAATATAATATCAAATCCACAGAACCTCACCCATGACCATGTCATAGGTACACACTACATCAACAGCTGCCGGAGCTGTTTTTTTGCTTACAAAAGTGAAACAGTTATAAAGGCATCAAAACTTCAAACTCACTTTCTTGATCCATCATGAATGATATGATGTGGGTAGAAAACCTACCCACATCATATCATGCACGGAACTAACAGACAAATAACAGGAAACGACATTATCAAAATTTTAGTTGTAACATCTGATTTTTCACCTTTTGACTTCATACTTATTTTTTGTAACGTTCTCAGCAACTTCACGTATCGTCCTAGGTGTTAAGTATTATGCATGGATATACAAAATTGTAAATATCTCGAAAATGATCACCTCCAGCGTTGTTGAGAAATTGTGTTTTTTTACTTGGAAAAGTTGTGTGAAATAGCTTTTTTCATGAAAAGTACCAAAGGTTTACTGTCAAAAACATTAGAGCAATTTGAAAAGAATAATCAGCGTACGCAGTGCTTTCTATATGTTACATGGAAATGAATAAAAACTTGTGAATTTCTACGTCAAAAAAACCCCGGGTACCAAATTCCATTCGAATAACTTACTTTTTTCGAAAGTTATTTCTCAAAAACGAACAAAAAAAATCAAATTCAACACCCTGTATATCTTAAACAAAGCATTTCCAGTTTGTTTGAAGGTGATTGACAATGTTTCGTGATGAATTTCACTAGTTCGGACTTCCATTGTCTATTATATAAAATGATTTGAAATCCCTGAAACAAGTAAAAAAGTAAAAAAGAATAATTAAAAAAGAATAGTTGAAAATAACAATTATATTAAGCAACAATAAACCTGAAATGAAATGATAGTAAAATAACCTACAAGTAATTTTATTCTATAGAAGTAGGTAGGTACCTACTTCTCCGGCATACCTTATAGAAGAATTGGCTTGTTATATTCCTTAGTCTATTCATTACATTGATGGCGTCATTATTACATGGCCAAGTCCCAGTTAGTTCCGAACAGTCTAATTCTTCTATCAGGAGGCCTTCTATTGATGTGACCCTATACAACAGCATGGTCAACCGTACTACCCTGCATTTTGTGAACTGTACAAGCCCAGCATAAATCAATTTTTTTGAAGGACTCTTCGTTTTATAGATGGACTTTCGTATTGATCGATAATTATCGATTGTAACTAAAAATATTTAAAAAAAAACTTTTAAAACAAGCCTTCATTTAAGTACCCTTGAAAGATCAAAATAAAATTTTGAATCACATTAACCACTTTCATTTATGACTTTACTGAATTGATATTATAATAAAAGCTTGTCGCGATGCCTAGAAGAAATCTCTACATATTCACACAGATGAAATGTAAATTGAGAAACATTCTGACAGATGATTCAATGTGATTTGAAATTTCATTTGAATTTCATCTGACTGAATATGTAGAGATTTCTTTTAGGCATCTCGACAAGCTTTTATTAGAATTTCAATTCTATAAAGTTATAAATGAATGTGGTTGATGTTATCTGAAATTTCATTTCGATCTTTTTAGGGCACTTTAATAAAAGCTTGTTTCAAAAGTTTTTTTAACACTACCGAATCCATAATTTACGAAATGATTGAATAGAATTTACGTTGAAACAGTCAGTCACAGCACATCTAATATCAATAATTTTTCTTTACAGAAAATTTTGGAACTCCTTGGCATACACGCCATTGGTCAGTTTACAACGTTGCAGAGGTTTATACTGAAACTGACCTGCTCTAGGTTTCCCTTGATTTTCCCTTGTAAATTATTGGAAGCCTTCTCAACTGGATTAGTTTTTGAACAGGCAAGACCTGTAAGTATAAAACTTTTTCTACTCCCTCCATTTCAAACTAATCATTACGGTTTTGACAGCAGGTAAGTAATACTTATTTAGAATACATGTGTATTCTAAATTCCGTAAGAAATTTTAAATAATTTCAAAGGATATGTAACATTTTTTCTGATAAATATGATCTCATGAATTCATTCAGTTGTACAAAAGCCAAAAATCAGTGAATTTTCTCTTCAAATTTTCTGTAAAATCGAAATAAAAATCATATTTTCAGTTAACTTATTGCTCGACAGTTTGTGGGTTGGTAATGAATCTAGTTGTATCCGTGAATCCACAATCACTTGTTTTAATCATGAGCTGACATTCAGTATCTTGTAAAAAAATCAAAATGAGTGATAACGATCAAGAAATTTGAGCTACCCCATCAGACATAACCGAGCAAGCAAATATTACGATGAATAATTTGCCGCCAGCAAAATCAAGAGAAAAATATGGATAAAATTTTGAAAATTTTATGAGTTGAAGAGAAAAGGAAAACATAACTTCGTTTTTAGAAAACAATCTTCTCGTTTATTTCGAAGATTTAGGAAAAACTTTCAAATCATCGTCATTATGGGCAATTTACTCCATGCTTGAAAGTACCCTGAATATCAAAAAAAATGTGGATATCAACAAATATTCCAAATAACGTTCCTTTCTAAAACGCAAATTTGATGGTTATAAACCGAAAAAATCGTCGACGCTCACCACTGAACAAATAATCAATTCATTAAGGAAGCTTCAGATGTCAAATATTCGTTTTCGAAGGTAAAACAACTTATTGCAACAATTTTTGAAATACTGAGACCCAACATAAAGGTTATAACTTCAACGCGACACGTGTTTCGCTATATAGTATGTAACAATGAAAACTTAACAGAGCCGTTTTTGAATATAAAAAGTAAGATTTTAAAAAAAAATCTGGGACACGTCGATTACTAATTGAAGGGGGACACTTTCCAGACTAATAAGATTTTTTGTAGTACGCCCCCCCTCGGAGGGGTGCGTCCGATGACCCTTATTTAGATAGGGAAAGTAGGTCGAGTGGCACCTTGTTTTAAAGGTCTTTTGAATACCTTTACATCTGCGTTAACGATTAGTTTTCGAGATAATTTGAAGATTCAAATGTATTTTTATTAAATGTATTTTATATTTTATTAAAATAAATCAAATTGTTTTCAAGGTACAATTTACATTCAGAACTTTCATGAAAAAAATAAAATTTTTGCTTTTTATGACAACCTGCTAATACGTGTCCATTTGATTTCGTAAAAAAGTAAGAATTATTTGTTTATTACGAGGAAATTTTTTTGGGAGATGGGGTTGGTTACCACCCTTACGTTTCAGGTAAATTGAGTGGCACCTCCTTATGAAGGTTGCCTTTTGACATGGATATTTTATGCTTCTGATAAAAAAGTGAATTACTAAAGACTTACCTACCCAACGAATACAACCTGCTGATTTCTTTGGATGCTGATGACACAGAAAAGTTTGAAAAACTGTTTTAGGGTTAATAAATCCCAATAATTGTTTTTAAAGCACACACAAAAAAAGTAACACCTAATAAGGGTAAGTCACATAGGAAATTTAGAGTAAATGTTCAAAATGTGCGCCATTTTGCTGCATGCAACAATAAAGATTTTGTTCGAATTTTGCTTCTACATTATTCAACATCTCAGGAGTTATAGCTCGGCATTCATCAATAATTCTAAGACGTAATTTATCCAAATTGGCTAGCTGTGTAGCATAAACTTTAGACTTCCCACAAAAAGAAGTCCAGTGGTGTTAAATCTGGTGATCGTGCTGGCCATTCAATTGGTCCTCTTCTGCCAATCCATTGTCCTTCAAAATGATTATTCAAAAAATTTCGAACCTGCTGGGCATAATGGGGTGGTGTACCGTCATGTTGAAAATGGATAAATCCATCTTAACATCTTGGATCCTGTTCAATTATTTCAACTATACAAGGTTATATTGCCTCTTCAAGAAGTTGTAAATGAGAATCACCGGTTAAATTTCCATCAATGAAAAATGGACCTTTAATATGATTGCCTAATATTCCGGCCCAGACAGTCAACTTTTGGGGGTGTTGGGTATGTATTTCTACGTATTGTCTTGGGTTTTCATCCGACCAATAACGGCAATTGTGACGGTTCACGCAACCGTTTAAATAAAATGAGCTTTTATCCGAAAAACAGATGTTATAAAGCAGCTCGGGATTTTGCATTAATCTCTCACTCATGCCCTCACGAAACTCCTGTCTTCGATCAAAATCATCCTCATTGAGTTCATGAACAAGTTTAATTTTGTAAGGATGGAATTTGTGGTTTTTAAGGATTCTCCATGCGCTTATATGGCTTATTCCGGCCATTGCTGATAAACCTCTGGTACTTAACCTGGGATTGGCGATGACTTGACCAATCACTCCAATCGCATTATCGTCATTCACTACCCTTCTCTCAACATTTCTTTTCTTATTTAAAACCGAACCTGTCTCCCTGAATTTTGTGACCAAATCCAGAACGTGATTTCTGCTTAGGTGTTTACCAGGGTTTTGCTCGTTGAATTAAATTGATGTTCTATCAGCATTTTGGTCGTTGCCAAAAAATAAAGCAATAACTGTAACCCTTTCAGCATTAGTGTAAGGCATTTTTTAACAAATAACAATACATGACCCATTTAAACAAAACAATCGAACTATGTACTAACGAAAACTGAAAGAAGAGGAGTGGGTTTTGATTTTAAAAAAGGGATTTCATTTAACAAAAAACTGATAAGAAGAACTGCTCAAAAAATTTTTTATTTAGGTATACAAATTACCGAGTGGTCTGTCTAATGTATTATCAACATGGCAATTTTAACTTCAAATTATCTCGAAAACTAATCGTTACAAATATTTTCTTTTAATAGGGTTGTGAAGGTATTCGAAAAACCTTTTAAACAAGGTGCCACTCGACCTACTTTCCCTATCTAAATAAGGGTCGTCGGACGCACCCCTCCGAAGGGGTGCGTACTACAAAAAATCTGATTAATCTGAAAGGTGTCCTCCTTTAATTAGAAATCGACGTGTCTGAGCTTTTTTTTTAATCTTACTTTCTATATTCAAAAACGGTTCTGTTAAGTTTTCGTTGTTACACACTGTACAATAGCTTTCTCAAGCATAAATTAATTTATCATTGATAAAGTTATTGTATAGCGAAAACTAGCCACCCTGCTAAATGAACTTCAGTACAATCTGTTATCTAGGTTTCATAGGTGTTTTTGTGAAGTAAACTCCAAAAAAGTCTTATTTTGCCTAGTTGAGTTTGAATTCAATATTCTCTTTATTTTGATTTGTCTCATTCTACAATAACGATCACCTACCAGGTGAAGTTACAATTGGTGTTTCTGTTTTTGTGAATTCCTGGTGAAAAATGGTTTATACGCTTCGAGAATGGATTGAAATAGTGAGTTTGTACTTCCAGAATGGAAATAGTGTTGGAGCTGCTGCCCGTATGTTCAATGTACGAATCAACATAACTCTTCATGAGTCAACGATGAAGCTATTTGTACTGTAGTTTTAGGTCACGTTGCACTAATGGAAAATTCGCAATATCTCACTAAGTTTTCCCGAGAGTCAGGAATCAGTCATACAGGATCCTTCATAAGTACAAATTTCATCCATATAAGATTAGACCAATTCATGAATTGACGAAGATGATTTTGATTAACATATTGTGAAAGTCTCACTGAAAGGATCAACTTACATCAGGATGTCTTGTATGAAATTTGTTTTTCGGATGAATGTACGTTCAGTTTGGATGGAGGGGTGAATCAGCAGAATGGTCGATATTGGAGTGAAAACGTGTTATACCGTCAGATTCACACCCAACGACCTCAAAAACTGGATGTTTGGACAGGAATTTCAGGTGACCACATCATTGGAGCCTTTTTTATCGATGATGATTTGACTAGTGATGAATATTAGGATATGTTGGAGAATCGAATAATACCGTGCATCATTAGGGCAATTGAGTAGGATATACATTCATTCGATAACGAAATAGTTTTTCAGCAGGGTGGTGCACCTCCTTATTATGCAACTCGAGTGCGACAATTTTTCAATTATTATTTTCCTGGTCGCTGGATTGGCAGAAGAGGTCCTACAGAATGGCCACCATGGTCTCCAGATCTCACTCCTGTAGATTTCTTTCTATGGGGTTATTTGAAGTCTAAAATGTATGAGATAGAATCGATAACATTAGAAGATTTGAGAGAGAATATCATGAGGCATTGCAGAGAAATAACTTCCGAGATTCTCAATCATCTGAGGGCGGCAATGGAAACTCGTTTGTACCATTGTATGGAAGTTGGTGGATATGTTTTGGAACATTTACTATAGGGGTTTTTTTCACTGTCCAGTCATCAGATTTTGATTCAAGAATTGATAAAAAATCTCTTTTTGTGATTTATTGCTCCTGTATAATTAGAAACATTGTTTCAAAAGTAACTCAGATAATTTGTAGCTCCCGAACCATAAGCTTCAGACCGTATGGTTTATATTTTGTTGAAATCTGCTCATGTAGCATCTGATAATGCGAAACAATATAGGGTTATCCATTTGAAAAAATTGGTGACATGCTCTGGGGGTGCGATAGGGAAGTACAATCAAATGTGAACATGTTAAAATGTGTCCCCCTATATACTATTGTTGACGTGTTTTTTTATTTTTCTTGAAAATCATTGTACCAGAAGTTATTCAGTGTGGCTCCTTTTGAATAGGATGCACTGTATGTTTTCATCTATTGGTATCAACACGAAATCATTTACTTTGTAGCAATGGAGGGACGTAATTTTTAGTACATCACGTGACAATCTACTCGAAGTTATTTTGATGTGTGTCATATCATGTAAAATATCAAATGGCTCATTAGATCAGTTGTGGTTCCTCAGATCGTACCTACGTTTACTTGGATAGTGAGCTCATTTAACAATTTTTTTTATTTCATTATTTGAAAGTTTATGTTTTAAATAGTACATCTGCAAAAAATCTGAATTTTCACTCTTTATCTTCCCTCTCAAATTAATAGTTGAATGTGGTCAAGCTTGACGTCACATCAGTCGACTCTCGGCGACAAGGGAGTGATGGCGGCGATCGCGATGGCAGCGATTCATAATCTCCAACTACAGGCCCGGTTGCCACCGCTCGAAGCTCGTTGCTTGGTGTGACGTCAAAATGTATCGCGGGCGATCTCACATTTCCAATTGTCTTGCTCAGTTGTTAATTGACATAAAAACCGGAAAATGGTGTGGGATACTAGGGAGATGATTTACTTTCATAATATATAATTTTCAATCAAAATCTAAATTAGCCTAACTGAGCCCATTGTGGTAATTCTAAAGTATTGAAGGAAGTCTGAGAAATGACTACCACATTCTGTTACGGTTCTCAGAATGCAAGAGTGTATTTATAAGATGAAAGAAATATAATGTAATAAATTCATATATTAAGCACAGCATCCACCCTGTATAAAATTTGAAACACCACTTCTTAGCAAATTCAATTTGCTATTCCCGTTGCGTAAGGCTACCACTTCCCGGATTGTAAAACTATTCGAGGACGATGTGATTCTTCTATTTGCAGCTCCGCAACGAGTCATTATGGACAACGGACAACAGTTTCGAAGCCGGGAACTGGCTAATTTGTTCGACAACTACAAAATTGTACCGTTGTATATTTCCAACTACCACGCGCAGGCAAATCCTGTAGAAAGATCTCACCGAGTCATGAAGACAATTTCAACGTCGTACGTCTCATCAAATCATCGAAAATGAGACAGCTGTCTTCAGCAAGTAGCTTGTGCTATCAGTACCTCTACATACGAGGTAACTCAACACACACCAAATTTTATTATGTTTGGTCGAGAATTGCAACTTTCAGGAGCAAATGGTCATCTATTGGCTCACATACTCACTCAGAATACATACGATCCTTCTTCACGTTCCAAAGCTTTGGATAACCTATTCCAGGATGTCTCCGCTAATATCAAACGACCATATGAAACCAGCCGACAACGTTACAATTTAAGACGTCGTGGTGAATGAAACTAACTGAGACGAAAGCGAAATTATGCATTGTCCAACGCAGCTCAGGGTTTCACTTCAAAGTTCGCTCCAAAGTTCTTATCTCCCTGGTCTTATGAGTTGATAGACTCTGAGGGAAATAACCGAGAAGTTTGGCATGCCAAAGATTTGAAAGCTCACCCACTCGAGGACGTAAACGATCAAGATGATGAGGTGGAAGGTTGAGGCATGTAGATTCAGATATAAATCAATCCTGTAGAACATTAGTTCGGTTGTCCCAGACTTTTTTTTGAAGAAAGAGGGGTTGTTACGGTTCTCAGAATGCAAGAACGTATTTATAAGATAAAAGAAATATAATGTATTAAATTCATATATTCATGCACAGCATCCACCCTGTATAATATTTGAAATTATATGAAGGAATAATTCACCCACAGCATTGGAGATTTTTATATTTTTATCAAGTACCCGTTCTCTTGTCAAACTCCAATCTTCAGGCCACACAATAACTACGGCCTTCTTATTACCACCTCAAGTCGATATTGTTGACTATATCCTGGTGTATCTCTCGCAAGGCTAGACCACTACACCCCTTATATCTCTGATTACGGTCTTCCAAGGAGCAAGTCATCTGCATGGGAAATATCATTGCCTGAATGGACTGCGTACAGGGGTTGGATCGTGCTGCTGAAGACTACTTTCCCATATCCCACGCATGTAAGGTCTTTCCTGTTATGTGTTACACCCTTCCGCACGACCTCGAATCAACATTGCGGCACAAGTTACGAATTCTAGAATAAACCAAGTATTTATCACACCTCAAGTTTAATGATAAGTTGTTTACATTTATATCTGTGAACCCAAAAGTACACTTCTGTGCCTGTAATCACCATCAGCTTGGCGTGTTTAAGGAAACAATACACTTATCCTCAAAGTGGACTTATATTTTCCCACCATCCCTCTCCGCTGAGTTCCGGCAGCCCATAATTTAGTTCCTAAGTAACAAAGTTACCCGTTTCAATCAACGACTACGGATGTTACAACTCAAGGAAGGCACCAATTTCTGGAATCGCTGAAATTGCTGAAAAAAAAACGAATATTTGTTTCCAGTCATGGACAGGATTCAAACTCACGCCTCGTGAGGCCATTGCTTCATAAGTTTACCTCATTATCCTGGTCAGGATAATGAGATAACTTATGAAATTATTATATTATGGCGGATCCTTGAGTGTACAAAGTTTAAAATGAACTGTCCGTTTGAAGTTAGTCAAAATCGAGTCGAAAGGACTCGGTTACAAACATACAAACTCAGAAGTGAATCTAATAGAAGCGTGTTAATAATAAAAACAGTTGAAAGCTCCTCCTCTGCACTGAGGGATGTTACACCATTGGCTTTTTTATCAAAATATAACAGGATTTCTCATCATTTATTTTTGTCCAACTTCAATATCTTTGCACTGAATATCTGTGAAGTCATATTCTAAGAGACATTTTCTCGTGCTAGGCTCAAAATTCTGCATTTGTCACTTTCACCAAGAAAGTTTTTGAAAAGAGTTTTACGTTCCATTTTGATTACAGGAAATCATGCCGTTGATTCTCACTAATTTCCCTGTTGGTCTCCCCATCAAAACAATTGAACATTATTGTCAGATATATTCAAAATCTGGACGGTTCCAGTTTTACGACTATGGACCTTCGAATAACTTGAAAATATATAACTCCAGCGACCCTCCAGAATATAACTTGGGAGATTTCACCATTCCAATCCATATCTTCTCAGGAAAACAAGATTTCCTTGCTCCAGAAGAGGTGAGATAATGTTGAGATTATATATGAATACAATACATGTTTCTATTATCTCTTGAGATGTAGTTTCGTAAATATCAGTAAAGACTAGATTGAAAAACCTATCTTTTTAATTTTCAGGATGTTAACAACTTCTACAATGAGTTGAATTGCCCCAAGATGCTACACTACCTTGACGCAGCACACAATGATTTTGCCTATGGAAAAAATGTTGAAGAAACTTACAAAAGTATTGTCAATAGTGTCAAAACTATGAGTACAACTGATTATGGCATGAAGTGAATATGTGTAATTTTTTAATCCAAATCGTCTTTTGGAGGTGGAAATATGAAAATGTTTGGGTCTGCTATCAGAAAAAAGATGTGAAAACATTGTGATTGCTCAATTCTCGTTGCATCAACAGAAACAATTCTGATTCTCATATGGAAGCTCTTGAGCAGAAGAAAAAAATTGTTTCTATTGAAAAAATCATGTTCTGACTCGGGCATCTACTACTAATGTTCCTTTCTAGCAAAAATTTACTAATGATGTATCGCTCTCATGTTCTCATGTATGGAGCTCTGCCCCCAAACATACCCTGATAGCCTGGAACACCAAAAAACGATTGAGGGTTCGTCTCTCTTTCATAAATACTTCCATATTTGATTCCACCAAGATCGGTACATATCAGAAATACGCGGCAGACTGTGGCTGCTCATCCTTTTGAGGTTCAACTCAGGATAACTCCAACTTCACTGTTCAAGAACTCTTCCATTTGGAGAACTGCGTTTATGTAGAATAAACTTCTTGGGAACGTTTTTTCTGCCCTTCGTGAACAGTGCTCCATACATGAGAACAATACTCCAAATAAGGTCTGATCTGAGCTTCTTGAAGCATAAGAAGCTGCTGAGGTGGGTACAGTTTGAAACACTATTCCAAGATTTCGATAAGCAGCCTTCGCAATTACAGAAACATGATTGTACCAAGACATATTGGTGTTCATTTTAACCCCCAACAAACTTATCGAAGCAGAAAGCGGAAATGTCTGACCTATCCGGTTTGGAGACATTTATCTTTTTGGAGAAAACCGATGCCTGGGTTTTGTTGGCATTGAATTGAACTTGGTTACTTCCACCCCAATTCGAAATTACTTCTAGATACTCATTGAAATATGCAACCTCCTGCTGCCGGTGAAGATGTGCCTCCGTAGTTAATGTCCTGGAATCCAAATGAAATAACGAGACAAGTGTGCTGTGTCAGCAAAGCAATATATTGAATTCTTGGTTTTTTCCAATAAGTCGTTGATGTACAATAAAAAGAGGATTGGAGACAATATGGATCCCTGTGGAACACCAACGTTGATGGTGAAAGTATTCGAGAGATATCCATCGACGAACACTTGCAGGGAATGTTCTTTCAGGAAGCTGAAGAGCCATACATAAAAATGATCCAACAAGCCATACCATCGATATTTGACTAGCAAACCCTCATGCCCCACACAGTCAAAGGCCTCAGAAATATCAAGCGCAACAGCTCTTGAGTCACCATGTTTCTCGATTGCGTTATTCCAAATATGGCTGACATACGATAGAAGGTCGCCTCTTGATCTTTGTTTCCGAAAGCCATATTGATGATCGCTCAAGATGTTGAAGCCTTCCAGATATTTGAGGATATGGTGATTTACGATGATAGCAAAGCGACTGGTCTGTATTTATTTGGAAGATTTTTCTTGCCCCTTTTCGGGAATCGGCAGAATGCGAGCAATCTAGCAATTAGTAGATAACAGGTTCCTTTCACCACCAGTGAAAGTAAAACAAACAGTTGATGACTTTGTTTCGGATAATAAAGGGCAATTTCCCAATCTTCGAACCTATCCATCTATAGGCTTGAATGGTTCACCCGAAAATTCCTCACGAATGCTTCACGATTTTTTGTACGACGATATGTATCTCTGTAGAGTAGGGAGGGTGACTGTAAGCCCACGCACTTAGGCCACATGTGACCCATTGTACATCCTCCCGAGGAGTTGTCCTCCTAGGTCATTGTCCATCCTGTCCTTTCCAGGAAGGTGAACAGGTCGCTGGGAGACATCTCCTTTATATCGGCAGGTGTAGGCTAAGACTCGCCGAACACACACTCTCTTATTGACGATAACTCCGGGCACTCGCACAGGACATGCCTGACAGTCTCATCTTCCTGTTCACACATCCTGCATAGAGGTGTGTCCACTAGCCCCATATTATGTAGGTGTTTCCTTAGCTGACAGTGGCCAGTCAGAAATCCTACTGTAAGGCGTAGATTTTTCCTGGTCATCGCCAGATATTTCTTCGGCGCCAGCTTCTCAGAGTCACCCAAGGTGATCCTGGCAAGACTGCATCCTTTGATTTCATCCGATCTCTATAGGGATGGACCATGGGTGTAACATTTGGTTAGTTCCACAATGGTCGAAATCATCAGGCCGTAGGTGCCACTGGGTCCTAAAATTCTTAGTCCAGCCGCTTCCTTGGCTAAAGAGTCGGAAATGCGATTACCTTTACTCCTGTCCTGCCCTTTAACCCACCTCAGGATAATGTTATTATCTACCGAGGCTTTGGCTAAATCTTGGTGGCACGACGATAAAATTGAAGGTATCAAGTCAAACATGCAAAACGTGTGGTCTTCATCATGCTTTCGTCGTCACCAAATCGACTCATCGAAAACACGCATAATGTTGTAAAAGTTAGGCTTATAAAGATCGTTGTTCGTCGTGCTAATGAACTTATGTGAATTATTCAAAATTTAGAGGACCACGAACTTGAATGGCTCAATGAGAACGACGTAAACTTTCTGAAATCACATAAAAGTGAGCAGCGAACATCCAGTTTCATTGGAAACATAGAATCATGGAGTCCGGTGTTATGGACTGAGGACTGTTATTTGGAATTGATATGTTTGCCAGGAACTTCAAAGTCTTTTGTTTTTTTTTCGCAATAATACTCAATATCATAACATTTGACCTTACATTTTGTTAAATACCGTGTCAATAAAGTTTGTTCAAATGTACATTATGTGCGTTGAAGTCCTCTATCTTGAATCTATTTTCTTATTTCTAGAATTATAACTGCTGCCCATGAATCAATAAAAAAAATATAAAAAAAAATTATATAACAATGTTCACCTAAGCATAGGAGAGGATAAGATCTTTACCTACTTTTGCTGTCAGGGGGTTTCATTCATTGAGAATAAAGTAAAATATATTNGGGCCCGACTCTATTTCTCATTTATATTAACGACCTCACCAACTTAGACATCAATGGTGAAATTACTATTTTTGCAGATGATACATCGATTCTATGGCACAACAAAAGCTCTTCAGAGCTTAACTACCACATAAGCATAGATATAGAAAAAGTTAAGAATTGGTGTGATTCCAATCTTCTAGCTTTCAATATAAGCAAAACAAATATCATAACATTCAAGGGCGACTTAGATGATGTTTATTTGGACAAGGAACAAATCTCCATTTCTACGGATAATAAATTTCTGGGACTTCTGATTGATAATAAATTGAAGTTTGGTAACCATATTACAAAACTATGCAATCGATTAGCTTCAGGTTGCTTTGCGGTTCGTGTCGTTGCTAATGAGTTGAATTTGGGTATAGCGAAGAACGTATACTACGCACTAATAGAATCTCATCTTCGTTATGAAATCTGCTTGTGGGGCGCTTGTGCTCAGTATTCATTTCAAAGAGTATTCTCTCTCCAAAAAAGGACAATTAGATACCTATGTAGTTCTGATTACCGTGAATCTTGTCGTACCTTGTTTATGCAACATGGAGTTCTGACATTGGTTTGTACCTACATTTCGGAAATGACTTGCCTCATGCACAAGAAATACCATGCTATAATTACTTCTGAGTCAACCTATAACACTCGCTCACCTCACTTGATCTCGCTTCCAATTCCCTCCTCAACCTTAACTCGCAACTCTCTAATTTTTGAGGGCAAGAAAATTTTCAGTCACCTTCCCCTAGCCTTGCTTGTCATCAAAAGCGGAGTCAAGTTCAGAAAATCTGTGAAATCGCTCATAGTTGGGAGGGCCTACTATACCCTGGAAGAATACTTTCAGGATTCTTTTTGCTGAGATCTCTATCTTTGGCGGCGGTCATATAACGTATGCCTAATTCTTTAAATATTTAGAGGTAGTCCTTGTAATTTCATGTACAAAATGTAAAAATGTTTTCTTTTTGTTTTTCCGGCATGTTACTTTATCCATTTAATTGGCACATCGTAGTTTTGTTGTTCAATGTTATTTGGCTTAGTGGTGTAAATCTTGTTGCTTCTGTATATGTAATTATGTTCGCTTATTCTAAGTGTGAATTTATGTGTGTTAATGATCTCCTTGCTAACTGTATATTTGTGATGTTATCATTGTGACTGTATGCTTTGTCATAAGAATTGTTATTCTTGGACAATAAAGTATATTTTGATTGATTTATTGATATCATATTAGACAATGGAAGTCCGAACAAATGAAATGCACCACGAAACGTTATCAACCACCTTAAAACTCAGATGTTATATTTCGTTTCCAACCAATATAACAGTCCTTTCAGGTAGACTCAATAAAAAAATATACAAAACGATTTCCACATCCATTTTCAAATCTGAAATATCAATTTGAAGTATAGTGACTCGATTTATTTCAAAATGTCTGTGACAAAATAAACTCTATCAGTTTGATGCCAAGGAGTGAGAGGTTGATAAAAAAAGTGTTTCTTAACAAATAAAAAATTGTTCAATTCTAAGACAACGATAAAAATAAAATAAATACAACAATAAAAATTGATTGGCGCTCCGGGGCGACTTCATTGATTTCAGTGGCGCATTTGGGACCAGAACCTGTCATTGGCATCGCTTTATGCTTTGCCAAATAAAGGTTGATCACCTGGATGGCAAGAAGATTTATGGACTTCTGGCAGAATCTTCCAGGATTGGTCCACTCCAAGGCGTTTATTCACCCTTCGTGAATAAACAACAACAACTACTACATTAGGGATGAACTATGATGTCTAACAGGCCTTCTTACAGGTCACTGTCATTTGAATCATCATATGCAGAGACTCGGGACTGTCGGAAGACAGAGAGTCTCGCCTCTTACCTCTTACCCTCTCACCTCTTACCATCTGACCTGAAAGACCACTCACCATACAAACTAATCGGCTTCGTTAAGAAGCTGAGTTTATTCGGTCGATTGTGAATGGGTGTAAGCCCCAATAAACCCTTACGGGTTGCTGTGAAGGGTCGAATAGACCCACTCACT